CATTTTATTTTAAACGTGATGCTCTAGTTGAAAAACAAAAAAAAATCCCGAAATTGATTTTCTGGTTGACGTTATGGTTTAAAACATTGGTAAAAGTTATATCAAATTAATATGCTAAGTGGAATAAATAAAATATTTTGTCGATAAGTCTGATCTAAATAGTGGATTAATCGAGTTTTATGGCTCGTTAATCAATTTTAGGCAAAATACATAAGCATAGCAATTTACTTTTTTACTAGGTGGTTTTTCCACGCATGGCGCAGAGTTCAATTCATTTTCTAAAATTGATAATATTGGTTTGTTTAAAGATAGAAAAATACGGTTTTATAATCAGGTTTTGATTGAAATGAAGATAAATATATTTGTAAAAGTAATACAAATTTAAAAATAAAAATATTATTCTATCTTATTTTCTAATATTTTTAATATAATTTGATAACAACTCAAAAATATTTACTTAACATTACGAATAATAATTTATAAGAAAACTAACTTATAAAAAAACATATCTGACTTAAACTTTAGATTGTGTCTACTATCTTCTAAAGTATCAGAGTCACTTTATAGTTTGTTTCCACTTGGGAATCAAAAAAATGAAACATCTTTCCAATCTTCATTTTTTTGTTTTTGTTTTTTGTTTTTCCTTTTTCTTTTTCACTCTTTTATTTTCTTTATTTTCTCAATCATCTTACTTTTTCAAAATTGTCTTTTCTCTCCCTTCCTCTACTTTCATATTCTTTGTGCTCTAATTTTCTTCTTCTAGATCGTATTTTACTATTCTGGTTTCTGATTTTTCTTTTCTTTTCCTTCTATTTTCATCTTCATCATTTCTGATTTTTATCTCTTTGATATTCTTTCTATCGCTTTATCTCTCTCCCATTCTTGTTTTTCTAGGAAATTCTATCCCTCTCTCTTGCACTCTCTCTCTTTTTTGGATTTTCTTATCCTATTCCAGTTTCTGAATTATCTTTTCTTCTCCTTCTAATATTTTCATCTTCTCCATTTCCGATTTTAATCTTTTTCGTGCTCTTTCTCTTGCTTTATCTCTTTTTCATTCTTGTTTTTGAAAAAAATCCTCTCTTGTTTTTTTAAGGAAATTATGTCCCTCTCTCTCACACTCACTCTCTATTATTTTAAACATGTATTCAGGTGTTTTAAATATGTATTCAGGTGTCTTAATCTCTCCCAAGGATATCATCCTGAGGGCCTGCAGAGACTTTGTGGTGAAGTAAACACTACTAATGAATAAAGCTATAAAGATAACATTTTCATAGAATTGGATGAGGCGGTCGAGATCATCAACATGAAGCATGACATGCAAACTGATTCAAGAAGGCAACTGTATAGCCTCCACCTTTGACCGGGCCTTTAGCAGACACTAATATATAGTAAAAGTTACAATTAAAAACAGCAACATGGTAGCAAAAACTTTTGGGGAATGGAGTTATGTCATTAAGAACCAGAACAGAAAAGAAGTTGTGTCTCATTATCATTTCATAATCAATTAGTATTATTTTAATGAATAAAAGAAGAAAAAAAATAAGATACAACACAACATATTATAATTAAAAAAAAAAAGTGACTAATTGCCTTTCTCTCGTTCTATTCGTTCATGGAAATAATATATATACATAAGTCGTTTCTTTTTTTTTCTAGGTCAAAAAACTTATTTTACCTTTCAGAAAACCATTAACATACAATGTTTTTTTACGTATCTTTTCATTTGTTAACATAGTTATCCTGCACTTTTATGATAATATTATCACTCTAAAAAAGTAAGAGGTATACAAAACAAAATATATATATAAACTTGAAAATCTTTTTCATGCGTCATGGCATTTCGTACCAAAATCCAAGTGTTTTAGTGAGTTCAGAAATAATTTTACCTAGTTGTACTGCAAATACATGGATACAGCCAGATAAAAAAAAGTTCCCTAAGATTATCTAGTGTATCTATAAAAATCAAAAGATAACTTTATCAAAACAGAGATAATCTAAAAATTATATCAATTTCAAGACACATATAAGTAACAGAGAATATTATAAATAAGGTATTTTTCCAAAGTATAATTACATGAAGGAGCACTTGGTGCAATTATGGTACTTTCACCTATTGAAAAGACAATATTGATCTTTTTCTCTTTCTCTTTCTCTTTCTTTCTCTCTCTTTCTTTTTATCTTTCTCTTTCTCTTTCTTTTTCTCATTCTCTCTCTTTTTAACAATCAAAACTAGATTTTGAAATAAAATCTGAATTTTAACAAATTTTAAGACATCAAAAAGTTGGACAAACCATAAGAACTCTAATCTTATTCTGCAACGACCATAATAAATATTCAGATTCAGATTCCGTTGGTGGACATGCACATTATGGATGGTCTATAATGGATCAGTAATTGAGTTTTGTGGATGATTTCTCATGGATAGACATCACAAAATTACCACATATTAGTTCTTCCATCTTCTCTTTTTTACTCGTTCATACCTACACATTTATTTTTTGTCCATAACATCATATCCACACGATACTCATGGATAACTATATGTGGATGAGTTGAAAGATTCAAACATCCATCAAAATATTCAAAATCATCGATGGACAGATGTTCATGGACTACCATGTATGGATGTTCATAAACAACTATATAATACTATGACTACTACTACTTTATAGGCGTAAATTATAACCCATCCACTTACTTACATCCAGTTTCGCTTATCCATTGACACTTTTCACTCCTTCCAAACATCCAATGAAGAATAAACATCCATTTACATCATCCACACATATCATTCCACATCATTGTATCTATATGTACAACTAAAACATTTAATCACTTATTTTATAAACTCAAATCATAACCCGTTCACTTACTTACATCTAATTTTGCTCATCCATTCAAACTTTACACTCTATCCAAACATCCACATATGATTATTTTTAGACATCCACATAAGTTTACCATCCACGCCACCACAATAGGTACCAAATTTAAACATTCATCTTTAACATTAATTTTAGACATGTCAAAATGAATTTAATATTAAACATGTCTGATAGTTTTACATGTGGATACTTGCATATGGAATGGTAGAAATTGATGAATAAATATGTGTACTTTGTCAAATATATATGCTCAAAGTTACATTTCTCAATTACACCCCTACTAAGAGCATCCACGATATGATATCCACATATTACCATTTATGCCAACGTAATACATATCAACTTCAGACATTCAACTAAGCGTCGTTTTAGGTGGTAACCATATCTTTCAGGTGTATGATTATTTGTGTGTACACATAGATATGTAACAACGAACACATATCCGTGGATAGTGGTTTGTTGCAAAAATGACTATGAATGTATCCACACCTAACCCATCCATTATTGATATATATTTCACCATCTCCATAATTAATTCTAGTCTATGGACTTGTTCACAAGAAGGATAAAAAAAATAATAACAAAAGAGAGAAAAAGGTGAAGAGTGCCAAAAGATTAAAAAAATGATTTTATGAAGGGTATGATAGACAAAAAATACATAAAATTTACAGCTAAAATACCCAAATTGTGAGAAGTGCGTTTTCTTGTAAATCAAACTCATAAAGTATCTTATTTAGTAAAACTCTCTAAGTAACAAAATAAAAAGAGTTACTAAATATAATTAAGATGCATGTGATAGTTATAAGTATAGTAGATAACTAAACATTAAACGTTTACCTAAGTTTCTTTTCAAGAACTAGAAGTAGAATCAATTTTCTTAAACCTGGTGGTCCTAATGGTAAAGTCATATTTGAAGAATAGCAAACTATAAAAACTGTTAGTACTTTGTGATTATAAATATTGGATTAGATATGATCTAAACTATCTTTTATTCGTCTTCCTGGTTTGATAATTCCACTAATCTTTCTAAATCACTGGCTACTGTTTTCTTGTCTTCATTATTCTCAATTTGCATAAGAAGCACTGCAATATAAATAAAAATGCAATGATAAAAAAAGTTGCAAAAAATTATGAGTTAAATATAGTCAGAAAAGATGACAACCCTGAATACATTAACGAGAAACATTAGCCAAAGTCGGTAAATCTATTGTACCAACTTGAACATCAGCTTCAACATTCAAAGTATCAAACCGGACTCTAATTTTTGAACTTCTATTTGAACTTGAAAAAACAATCTAAAAGTATTTAACTTTATAAAATAATCTAACAAATATTTAACTCTACAAAATAAATCTAAAAGTAGAAGCTGAGAATCCGAAGAGACAACACATCTCTCGAGTCGTTTCTTAATGGTGGAGAAAAGGTTTAAGAAAAATAATTGAATTTGCTCAATTTCTATTGGTTGAAAGTTATAAAAAATTGTTAATTACAAAAATATGCATTTATAGTTAAGTTTTAATGTGTTTTCTTAATATCTGTGAAAACTTTAAAACATTTTTTATCTAGAAACAAAAGGAGTATTTGATAAACCACTCAAGTGAAAAACTCCGATGTGTTAAAAGCTGAAAAAAAGTTAGTGCATATAATAATGACCTGGAAATACAAAATATCAAATTTCCAAAATGAAATGTTTGGATTAAAATTAGGGATAATTTTTGAAATAATCCACTCTACAATTTTATTACAAAACATGATCTTTTCTAAAATAACCCATAAAAGGGGTCCACTAGATTGTTTTTAATCTCTTTTTAGTCTGTCAGTAGTTTGCAATTAGTCTACCATTACAATGCGCCGGTCTCTGGTAAGTTTATCCACGCGTTGTTGGCGAGTCAACTGCTCACGAACAAAAAATACGAGATGTGGGCAGTTTTCGGTGGACAGCCATTTAGGTTCTCACTTAGGGAATTCGGTAGTTTGACGGGGTTGGGTTGCGGAGAGTTTCCTGACGGATACCATCCATAGTTTCCCCAGTTTGATCAGAGATGGGTTCCTGATGAGTCGTGGAGGAAGATTATATTGGAAGTCAACACAACAACTGTCGTAGATTTGGTGATTATGCTAAAGAATGACGTGGAGATGCCGCCTAGGAGAAGGTTACAACTTGCGATAATTTGCATTTTGGATGGGGTTCTCATCGCTAACACGCAGGTGCACCGGCCAACACCTCGGTATGTAAGGATGGTCGACGATCTGGAACACAATATGGGCTTTCCATGGGGGCGCGAGTCCTTCTACCGGGCTATAGGGGCGATGATGCCGGAAGTGATGACTCGGGACAAACGTGACTGGGCAGTGCAAACATTCCGACAACAGCTCAGCGTCGGGTCTATGCGCGTATGCGGATTCGCGTTGGCTCTTCAGCTATTGGCATTTGAAGTCATCCCTGGTCTGCGTGAGAAGCTGAAGGATGGTGGAGAATTCCCGATCTTAATCGATCATCCTGATGATCGGATTCCGAGGCACTGGTCTTTGAGGTTGGAGGCGGTGCGAGAAGTGGAGGCGGATAGCGCTGTAAGTAGTTATCGATTTAACATCGTTCTATAACACCCCATAGATGTTTGGCTTGATCTGATATGTTTTTCCTTGTTGATTTCCAGCTTTAGGTTTGTCCATTGCTCAATGTACATCCCGCTGAGGATGAAGGATGGGGTGAGTGGGATGACGAGAGCAAGGATGGCAGAGTGAAATATCTGATTAGGAAGATTAAAGATGGACATGGTTTCACTAAACCGGGGTGGCCCGGAGGAGATACTCGTTTCCCATTGAAGGTAGTGGTGCCGATTATTAGTAAATTGGAGCATGCTAGATCCATTTTCGACCGTAACCGGAGAGATGGGAAGAAGGTGCAGCTAAAAGCATCTCCGGCGAAGATGACAAATATGTCCAATAGGAAGAAGAGGAAGGTCGTTGAAGATGTGTCAGCTGCGGCTTTGATTGAAGGGGGAGATCTGAAGGGTGGTAGCATTCAAGTTCGATGTTGTTGTTTGAGTTCATTAAGACGATCCTCCCGTTTTAGGAGTCGTATTCACCTGGGAAAAACTCCTGAAAGCATGGAAGAGGTTGGTGAGGGGAGTGTGAAAGGTGATGCTGTTTCTTCACCTTGCTTGTACGAGAGCATAGAGAAAGACACGGGAGACCGTGCACAGTGGCAATCTGATGATGTAATGGCGGATGGACAGACTACTGTGGACGGGTGTGGTGAAGCGAGTGTCGAGGTATTGTGATTTTGTGCATGATTTTGTTGCAAGCTCTTTTCCCCTTTGACCTATATGTGGTTTTCGTTTTGTTTGATTTAATAAGTGGAGATTGAATTTTAGGTTGGTTGTCCTGTTGACGCGGATGAGATAGTGGAGGGTTGTACTCAACGATATCTGCAGTAGCGTTGAGATCTCCAGAACTTTAGTGGAAGGGGGGAGATGCGGGAGATAACTCTATGGAGAGAGATATTGTAAGCCTTTTATGAAACAATGATGTCGGTTGATTTAGTACAATAATGTAATGATAATTGATTGTTTTTCTGTCATAGCAGGGTGGTGATGATGTCGGTCAGGAGACGCTAGTGATGCAAGTGGCCTTGGTATATGATAATTTATCAGCTTTTCGTAGTGCATACCTAGTAACTTATTGTAATGAAAATTCTGTTTTTTTCTTGGGGTGAATGCATAGTAACATTGCATTGATGTGATCAGGAGAGTGCAGTAGATGGGAACTCGTGTATGGCCGGTGATCCTGTTGCCAAGGAGGTGGTTGGAATGGAATCAGTGATCGTGACGGAAGCCCCGGATGTTAGTTATATTTAATCGTTTTCCGTCTTTACTTTGCCAGATTTCCGCAATGGTTGGTAATTGTATGTGTCTTTCATGAGGACAGGTTAATGCAGATGTGCTGGAGTGTCCACAGGTGAAACACTGCATGGGAGGTGAAGATGTCCTATATATAAACACGGATGGACAAGTAGTGATGGACACGACGAAGGTGAATATATTATTTGTGTAAGATAAAAGGTTATGATTGTTCTATGGAGGTAATTTTTGTTTGGTGCCTTGTATAATATTGTCTTTGAAAAATTAATGCAGGCACGGGCGGAGGCTTTACCATTGAGGGGGGGGGGGGGGGGGGGGGGGGGTGGGATATGTGTTGGGGCTATCGTCTGAGGGTCAGGTATAGGCTGGGATTCTTATATAGATGAGTATTATTTGCCAATAGTTTGGTCACTTAAGGGCAATTATACAAGGTTGATGAATTTGAGACGACGGTGGATACTGAGAGGAACGAGGATATGCTTAGCGATGTGGCTGATGTAAGTTTATTTGATGTAGATGTTGACATTATCATGTTGGGTGATTTTATTGCTGATTTGTTTCGATGTCAAGTGGTTACTGATGGAGCAATTTCTGGAGAAGTAGGGTTAAGGAAGCGTAAAGCACCATCGACGGAGGAGGTGATGATGTAAGTGACTCTTCACCCCCACCTACATTGGTTAGGCATGTTCCATCGCCTGAAGAAGTAAAGCTTGCGGTTGCGCTAAAGCTGAAGAAGAAGAAACCGTTCAAAACGCCAATCCATGGGCTGGATGTAGACATTTTTAAGTGGTTTGAGCATACACTTTTGGGAACCGGCGCTGTGTAGGTAAAATATGCTGTTGTTTATTTGTAGTTGCAATGTAGCTGTTTTTTTAGATGAGTAATTGTTAATAAAACGATGCAGGAGACACCTAAGTAAGCCTGGATATGCCTTTAACAATAATTTCCTGCTTGACTTGGCGACGGCGCAAGAATGGGTGTCGACATTGGTATTGTCCAGCTCTGAACCCTTCTAATATGTACACATTATTTTTAGCCTCTAAGTTGGTTTTTTTTGTTTTCAGCATATGGAGGTCCTGATGAGCTGGCTGTCGTCTAAGAAGGTTGGGCATGAACCCGTAGCTTTTTGCTCGCCAAACTTGATCAGAGGTTTGTTGAAGAAGGAACATCAATTCAAAGCTTCTAAGGACAAAGATCTACTGCACTGGTATGATTTGAGCCTGTACGTTAGTGTTCCGGGGAGAAGGTGGGTTGAAGATACGCAAACTATGTACGTGCCCATGTGTTGGGCGGACGAGCTTTGGGTTGGGTTGGCTATTAACCTCAGCCTTGGTCACATTGAAATTTTGGACCCGTACCCTCCCCAGAGAAGCGATGAGGAGGTGGAAGCGTGGATGAAGCCAATTTGTTGTATGTTGTCATACGCTGTAAGAAGTCTATGTCCACAGACGTCGCAACTGACGGGAGTTAGGCCGTATGGTGGACGAGAGTGAAGGATCTCTACTTGAACAAAAAGTCCGGCGATTGCGGGCCCATCGCTGTTAAATTCATGGAAATGCATGCCGCTGGTGACCCCTCGCCACATATGTTTGGTTTAACTGATGATGCAGTGGATGACTTCCAGAAGCAGTATGCTATGGACTTGTACAGGGATCTGGTTGTGCCCCTGTATTCTTCAGCGCGGTGGGCGTGAATTGGTTGGAGTAGTAGGAGTTTGCGAGTTCTGGTCGGATATGGTAGTATTTTATTGATGTTTAATTGTATGTGGGTACTCGTGTGTTAGGTGGTGGTAGAGTATAACCCATTAATCTTAGCTGGTGTGGTCTGTTTTTTGGTGCTCCGCATCCTAGTGTGGGAGTGTGTAAGATAGGTTAATTAATTGACGATGTGGCCAGTAAGATTTAGATGTATTGTGAACGCGGGACATCGTGTCCACAGTGTTGTTGTCAACTTGTTTATATTTATAATTTTTAATGAAACGTTTCGGAACCATTGATGTCTGTGGCAACTAAATCGATGATTGTTGTTATGGTTTTTTGCTCCTTGAACGATAATTGTGCCTCATTGAAAGAAACCAGGGAAGGTGGTTTTTTGCGTATAGAATAGTCTGCGTGGACATGGGTATTGGTGTAAAAGTCTGTGTGGACGGAAATAGGTGGATAAAACAAAGGGCGGTAAAAGCTGGTAGTGGCAGTGGATAGAGTTTCTAATGTGCGTGGACAGACGGTGGTGATTGATATTAGTAGATACGGCCACATATTCGTGGTTGTGCTATGTGTGCTGTTGTGGCCCGTTCGATTCATTAACTTATCTTTACCCTGTTTTTTTTTGTGGCTGAGGAGGTAAGGATGAGAGCCGTGTATATATGAAGTATCTTTTGGATGTTTGTGGTTGTCGATCGAAAGTAGATCTGCAGAAGAACAAACGATATGGCACGTAGCAGTAGCTCAGCGTCTGTAGCGAATTCCGGTAGGCGAGGGGAAGAAGACTTGGAGGGGCCTCTGTGCTATTGTGGGCGAGTAACTAAGCAGTGCAAAGCTTGGACAGACGAGAACCCGGGTAGACGCTATTACGGTTGCGAGAAGCATGTGTTTTTCTGTTGGATGGACACGGAGCGTCATTGTCTGTGGCAGAAGGAGAGTTTGCTGGAGGCGCGAGACAAGATCCGCCGGCTCGAGAAAGAAAACAAGCTGTTAACCGAGGCATTAACAGAAGGTCACATTCGCAGTTACGTTGCGGCGGCTGGTGATGGATCCGCGTCAAGGGAAGATGGCGCAGGTACTTCAAAACAGGCGGAGGAGTTGAGGGCAACGAAGGGTAGGGAATTGTTGTTGCGTGAATTGCTCCTGCTATCGTGGTGCTGTTTTGTAATAATTACCAGATTGATGGTCGCTTTTTTGAAACCGTAGTGTTTAGGTAGACTGTGCGGGTGGGCGTAGATCGAAGCGGCAGGATGTTGAAGTGGTAATCTCACATACCTCACCACCCTAATTTTGAACTGTATAATTATGTGTTGGATGTATTGTGTGAAGTTGTAGTATTGAATGTTAACGTTTTACATGAAACGAATACTCCGGTTGTTAAATTATTGTTTCTGATTAAGTTTGTGTCAATGACTACCGGGCGGTGCTAACCCAGCCATTACAGACTGTAAATAATTGTGTATACATCTCAGTCTGTCCATATCGTTTGCCGTAGTGGCGAATGTGGGGTAGTTAGAGTTTCTTGTCCATTGCTGTATATCCATTTATCAAAAGTGGGTAAATATTGATGGTTAATCCTGTCATCGGATGTTGTATTGTGCACCGTATAGCTGAAGTCGACGTGGTGATTGTTCACTGTAAATAGTGCAAAAAGGGTCCAAAGTATGCCATCAACCGTATGCCTTCCACATTGCAGACGATATGTCACTCCCACTATGTGCTTCGTCTGGGAAAATCTAATGGTTAATACGGTTAGCGGGTGTTGTGTTATGCACCATGTAGGTGATGTCGACGTGGTAGATGTTGAAGGATCTGGTCCATCGTATGCTGTCCATGTAGGTGATGTCAGCGTTGTATATGTTGGATTCAGAGATTCCTATATTCGGCTATCCATTTATTTGTAGTGGCAAAATAATTGGAGGTTATTCCTACTGTATGACGTGTCCATCATAGTATGTCCATGTATGTAGATGTAGTACATGAGACGTAGTTAACTTTGTCTCATGGGGATGAGTTTCTTCACTCTGGGAATCTGAAAGCAATTCAAAGCTCTAATTTTAAGGTGTAAGAAATAAAACTCTTGGTAACTTTAAAAATGAGCTTACAGGTATCTCTCCAGCGGATGGATAGCGTGTTTCTTTTCTCATGCCCGATGCTCTGCGCTCCTTAGTGGAAACAGAACTAACTTGGTTAACTCAGGTGGGATTTCTTCATCCGTAGCGTTTTCGACGGGGTAAATGACACCGGAATAAGTTTCCTGCCAGGTTTTTAGTCTGTATTCTGGGCCGACCAATGAGCTATATGGTAGCTGTAAGCTGTCCTCTGCAAGCAAAGCATGGCCGCATGTGATCTTTAGCCGATTGTACCTCTTGCAGAGGCATGTCTAGTCCGTCAAACAGACCTTGTGTTTCTCGCCAAAAATACCAACAATCTGACAATTCCAGTCGTTGATGCCATTGATTTTGCTGCCTTTCACCTTTTTCATATGCTCTGTCAAAAGTCTGTCAATCTGACAACAATTTGACAAATGTACATATACTAAGTTAACTATGTCTCATGTACTACATCTAGGTACGTGGCCAGGGTAGTTAGAGTTTCGTGTCCATTGCCGTATATCCATTTATCATAAGTGGGTAAATATTGATGGTTAATCCTGTTATCGGATGTTGTATTGTGCACCGTATAGGTGAAGTCGACGTGGTATATGTTCACTGTAAAAAGTGCAAAAAGGGTCCAATGTATGCTGTCCACTATATGAATTCCACATCGCAGACGATATGTCACTCCCACTATGTGCTCCGTCTGTGAAAATAATGTTTCTGTATATGTGCGTGTCCATCAAGTTATATCCATTTTATGGCGCTTAGGAAAATTCTAATGGTTAATCCGGTTAGCGGGTGTTGTACTATACACCATATAGATGATGTTGACGTGGTAGATGTTGAATGCATGGGGGTGATGGATGCGGTCCATCGTATGCTGTCCATATAGGTGATGTCAGCGTGGTATATATTGGATCGGGTGCATATTCGGCTATCCATTTCTTTGGAGTGGCAATTAATTGGAGGTTATTCCTGCTGTATGATCGTGTCCATCATAGTATGTCCATGTATGTAGATGTAGTACATGAGACATAGTTAACTTAGTCTCTGTACATTTGTCAGTGTCCATCTTTGTGGCAAGTTAGTGGAGCACATGATGCAGTGTTAATAATTGTTGAAGATTAACTGGCATTGTAATTGCCATCGAATTACAGAAGAAGAAGTTTGACACAATGGTGGTCCAAAAAGGTTTAAGAGAGTACTGGCACTTGATAAGGCTCAGGTTTTACCCAAATAAAACTACTGCAAGTGCACATCAAAAGCAGTTGTAGTACAAGGGGTATCGAATCCCAAAGGAGTAATGCAGACTACACTATCGAATGTAGGTTCGGATTAAGCTAAGCAGAATATAATGTATGTAATGCGAATGACAAATTAAATGTAAGCAAACGAAATTCAAGTTGTTGATCTAAGTTTCAGAAGATTAGAAGCGCTAAGTCAGGACAGTTCCCAGGTTAAATCCGAGAATGTAGAATGCATGAAATCATGAATGATTAAGAACCGTTTTGAGCATGAATCACTGATATATAACTAATCAATTTTCATTGCAGAAGTTATCTATGCCTAAATCACAGAGTTTCAAATCTCTTTGCAAACCCTAACAATCTAAGCATGCAGTAATGATTAGGCTCAATTGTTCACAAAACTCCTAAGCCAAATCTCTTTGCACTAAGTTGTTTTGCTCATCAAATACTAGTTCAGGTTATCAATAATGCTCTAATTAACAACCTATGATTTTTGGATTTCTAGATGATGTATCTAAGAAATTCGATTTTAAAGCAAGCAGAGATGAAAAACTAAAGGATATTCCTAACAGGTAGCAATTCTACAAACTCTTCATCAACCTTTGAAAAAGCCCTAGCTCAACTAGCAGATTAATCAGACATGATCATGGAATCACAAAACATAACTGAATAAAATTGCATTAAGAGAAAGAGTAAAAGAATAAGGGGGTTCGAAATCATCTCAAAAGAGTACAAGATCTGTCTCGCCAAAAAGCTCTGAATCAATCTCTCTCTAGCTCTATGAATTTTCAAATCTAAGATCAAAACCAACAATGGCTGAAAAACCTAATAAATAGAGGCTAAACACGATATGGGGTCTTCTTGCAAATTCTAGAACTTCTGGGCCAATTCTGCAAGTAATCTTCATACTTTTAATAAACAAGCCACGCTCCTTCCTTGGTGGGTGACGAGCATCAAGAGTGGTGACGAGCATCACCATATCGCATACTTTATTCTCTGAGTTAGGTACTTTGTGGCTTCAACTTGAAATGCTCCAAAAGGCTCCAATATCTCCAATTATGCTCCATACATGCTATAACCTGCAAAGACTCTACTAGAAATCTAAAAAGACCAAAAAAACTCAATAAAAAGGACTTATACCATGGTTAAAAACCATAAAAAAACCATGATATATCAACTCCCCCAGACTTAGCTTTTGATTGCCCTCAAGCTAAACATGAGACAAAGAACAGGGTCGAGGTTTGAAAACAAGAAACAGTCAGTCAGACATCAGGAACACCACATTAGTTAGAACTTTCGAACCCACATACCACAGAGTCAACACAAGATCACATTTCAGTCTAATCATCACAAGCTTAGCAAATCTCTCAAGTCCAGTCCAAATCCCTTCAAGAAATCCGAAATTTTTACTGCTAACTCCTTAATGTTTTTTATCTAAGTGTGAAGTCTCATTAAGGTTTTATCATCTCAATCACTTACAGATTCTTTTCCCTTCCTATACAACTGAACAAATCAATCTCGACACAGCTCTCCTATTTTCTCTTTCCTTGATCTTTTCCTTTCTGATTTATTCGATTTTTCCACTTCTTTTCTCATCTTTTACAGTCTAAGATATGGTGCTACTCAATACTTGTGTTCCTTGTG